TGCTCAATTTTGTTACGAATTTATTCCAGTTCCATTATAATTTACAATAAATAGGTGTTTCCATTAAAAATTTTGAAGAAAAACAAATTTTAATTTTTTTATTTGAAAGTCCCCTCTACCTACGACTATGAAAACTAAATGCAAGTATTTTATCTTCTTCTTTTTGTGCCACTCCTATCGGAGATTGGAAATCATCAAGGCTATTCTGACCTTGTTTACGGCTGACCTAAAGAGTTCATTAGTGGTGCAGCCAAACCACTCTCTCAAATTCCGCAACCATGACATTCTTCTACGGCCTGGATTTCGTTTTCCTTCTATTTTTCCCTGCATTGTATTTTGAAGTAATGCGTATTTATGTCCTCTCATCAGTATAGTAGTATATATAAGTATTTTATAGTAGATGTGAATTAATTCATCCACCCTCTTTCTAATGACACTAATTTCATTAAAATCGGTTGGACCAAACCAAAGTTATAGGTATTTATCCACAAATACTTTCCCACTCTCCCCCACCCTTTAATTGAAAAAATAAAAAAAAGTACTTGAACAACTTTGTGCAGAATTTATGCCCCTTTCTAGTTTACTTATTTAACACTTTGTATAATTGGACATATTTCCCAAAAAACTGGTTTTCACAATTTTCTTCGCAGGTTACGCCCCCTAGCGGATAATCCAGAATCTTGAAAGTTATTTCCAGCGATTTCTCTTGGCCACTTTTACTGAGGAATTTTTTTTCCTAAAGTTATAACATGAATAGTTTCTGATATATAGCCGAGAGATCGGCTTATTGGACCACCCGGTATATGCAAATAGTTAGTATTAAAAAATTTATTGGAACAATTTAGGCGTTACCAGACATCGGTTTTATGTATTTATGACCTTCCAGATTACATAAAATCATAAGTGTTACATATGGTTGAACTCGTATTGAATAGAAGATTCCAATAATGACTGAATATACAGGGTGATGTATATATCCGTATCCCAAAATAGGTGTACCTCAAATTTTGTACAATTATGATTGGCATTTTACGAGATAATTAGCCGTTTCCAGAATTTTGGGTCACTATATATATATATATATATATATATATATATATATATATATATATATATATATATATCTAAAGTTCATTGTTAAGTAATTCAGTAGTAAGGTGAGGTGCTAGGTTACATAGGATACTAATTGATTGTACTTTTGCACTAAATGGATCAGTTATTTTAATATTTTAATTGAATTGGTCATTATGAAAATGGGTCATCTCCATTTTTTTTACATTTCCACTTTCTGTCGAATTTCTATTTAACACACGTAGACGCCTCTATTCCGTATAAAAATGGGTCAACTTTCATTATTATTACCGTAAATACAGCATACCCCACAAACCAGTTCAGTTTGAAAACGAGTCATCTCCTAGAAATAACCCATTTTCAAAATGAACGGCGATTTGTACCCACCCACAGTATAATGGTTTATTATATCCGGCCTACCCACAGTATAAAAGTTTATTATATTGACGATGCAATATATTTAGTAAATTTAGAGACCTGTTTGGAAACAGACGCTGTTCGTAATATAATGTCATGTAGTGATAGTAGTACAAGTAAATATCATCCTTTAAAATGAAAAAAAAAGGTGTGAGGAATCAAAATACACAATCTTAAAACTAGCAAAGCAACCTTTTACTCTTATCACGAAGGCGAAGGACACAGAGGACCTGATGAAGTTTGATCCTTTTTAAAAATGACTATATAAACAACAAAATTCCAGAAAACTTTGAAGAACTGCATCTCTTTTGTGACCAATGTCCAAGTCAGAATCGCTATAACACTGTAATTCGATATCTTCTGGCCTAGTCATAACATAGACAGGATCGTGTCTTCATCTAATAATAAATTTGATATTAGACATATTACTTACATAGATGTAGCTGCTTTTAAAAAATGGTGGCCAGATTAAAAAAAAGTTCCACAGGAAGCTTTGGTAAGGAAGTTCCAAAAAAACGAAAGCGTTAGTTTCAGTATTAACTCTTATTATTAATTTAGGTTTTCCTCAAATAATTTGGGTATGGTGTTAGCTAAACCATACATTGATGGCATTCTTAAAGAACGTTTTCAACTTATAAAACCTCAACAAAAGGACAGTTCACCAATCTTTGTACACTTCCCGTCATATAAAACTGGTACACTTTTTTTTTCCCAATGTAAACCTGTGTTCAGAAATAAATTCGTTGTTGCCATTACAGATAACGGAATTGCACTAAATCTAAATAAAAAAATAACGTTCAAAAATGTATAAAATTTCTAGGTGTTATTTTTATCATTACCAAAAAAAGTGAATCTAAGAAATTAAATAAGCAGAGATAGGGTTGAGATATTATTTAAAATGTTTAAAGGATCTTTAAATCTAGGGTATTGGTACAGGAAACATTGGAGTCCATCTACTGTAATTTTGCATTTCAATTACCTACCGAACTCGAGTCTCGAACTGTATTATGTGTCAATAATAACAGGCAAACTACCTAGTCTAATTTATTATTTATTACAAGAACGATAAAAAATGTGTAAAACTAACATTATACTTTATCCTACGTATTATATACTAGAAAATGTTCGGTGCGAAAAAACGCTTTTCAAAACGTAACAGTAACAATCCAATATCTCATTGTAATGTTTATTATAATAATTTGAAGTTTGTCTAGATTGATTATCTGTCATTATTTTTGAGTTGAAATATTTTCATAAATTGTTATAAAATACAAATCAATATATGAGTATTTAATTGACATGAAGGAAAATTACAAAATTAATAAGAGAATTTTTTTTGGATGCATGTTTAAACAAATTTAATGTGAATGACTGATTGAGAATGCTCGATAATGTTCAAGTTTTTAGTATACTCAAAACTGGCGGTCTGTCATACAGCCTTGCTTTTAGCAGGTTTTATATAATATTTTCGTTGAAATGGCAACGGTGCCCTAGAAATCAGAATGATACATGACACAAGATCAACTTACACAACTTAAAAAACACGATTTTTCATTATAAGAATTGTACCAGTTTTTTTGTGACGGGAACGGTACCTGATCCTCAAAATCTTCCTGCCTATCAGATGAAAATTTTAATAAACATAAAAAATTGAAGGCTTTTACAATACATCCCAGATAATCACAAGCCATTCTACAACGTGATCTGTAAATGGTCTACTACCAGTGCCGAAGAAGCGGAAAAGGAGGCAATTACACTATCATTTATTTTAAATCTTTTTGTCTCTTTTTTTAAATTAAGTGTAACAGTTTAATGTTACTAATGACCAATATTCATATTATATTGACTATTTTTACTTTTATTACCTGTTCATTTGAAAACGGATCATCTCTTTTACAAAAAAATTCGGTTTCTAGGTCATTTAAAATTAAAAAATATCTTTTTATAATATTCTTCGGTTTGTTTAGTAAATCATAAAACCAAAAATACATAAAAACACTTAAGTTCTTAATAATAATGAAGATAAGAAGTTTTTTACCTCTCCTGTAAAGTTTAAAAAAGTGGAGGTGACCCCTTTTCAAAATGGCTGATTCAATTAGTGTATTAAATTAATTAATTAATGTAATAATAAATGTTTACAATTAAAAAGGCAGTTAAATTCCTTTTATTTTGTTTCTCCCCAATTTTATTGACATTTTGATGTTTTTGTTTTACCATGTTTCACAAGTGTGTAGTTATCATTTCTCTTTTAACAGCCGGATATAATGTAAATAATAAAGGTATGACTATGTCAGCTCTGTATCAAAGTCCATATTATTTTTATTGATAATATAAAATATTAAAATTAGTTCTAATCAGTTTTTTATCACTAGCGATATGATATCCGTTTCCTTCAACAGAACTAAAACAATCACATAATATATAACTCCATAATAACACTAAAAGCCATATTTAAAACATATTGTCAAATATAATTTAAATCACTGAAAATATGATTATCTCAAATTTTAACAAGACAAGAGAAAATAATCAGCAACAAATTATGCTGTCGTCTACTGAAGGTTGGCGAACATCATGTTGATATTTATGTTTCTTTGTTTTGTGCAGCTTCTGGTATTTTGAACCCTTAAGTTTGTCAGCCAGCGTTTTTCTTTCTAACCAACCATTTTCTACCTTGTAACAAGTATGTGAACAAATATCTCAATTATTGGAATAACTGGAAGACATGTTACCCAATCTATTATTTAATAAATTCCTACACTAGAAAATTCTTATACAACTTTTAATATCTAGCTGATCTCAAATTAAGATTATGTTGTGACATTTATACTCAGTATTATTTAAACAAATGGTTCATGCAGTGGAAAAGTGACCACATGATGTGTTCAGGAAATATACAATCCCAGTGTACAATGCCCATGTATGTATATTATTGCAGAAAAACTATAGTTACAGAAAACTTGTTCCATGAAACTATTAAAGTCATATTGTTAGGAATAATCCACCTGATTAGACTACAACAACTAGAGATACAATTGATCAGCAGTCTGATGACTGAAGAACCAATCATTACTGATATAGTCCAATAAAACAAGAAAACCTAACAACATTCCATCCCAAAATAGTTACTATAAAATTAACATTAGACCAGATGATAAAAAATGATTGCAAAATAAGATACACATGGTCAAAGCCAGTCCCTAGAAACAATATATATTTTGTTGTAATTGGCGAAACACTACATCTTGCCCAGAGGCTACAAAAATGTCAAGGAGAAATTCAAAATCAAAGGAGGAAGGAGAAATGTGGTAGAAGCACCCAGGCTATCTAGATTCAGCAAATTTGGAAAAAATGAGACAATGAGGAAGGAAAGAAGAAACCATTAAATATTATCACTATCAGTCTTATTTTGTTAGTAATAGTTTAAGTTAATTAATTTGAAGTGTAACTAACATAACTATATTTTCACTACATAAACAGATTGAATAATACATATAACTTATAAAACTTACTTGTTTTGTCTGGGTTTCCTCTGTTTCACTAGAACTATCTGAACTATTTCGTCTATGTCCTGTACCAGTTCTAATATTTAAAGTAAAATGTTTATCTCCATCTGTAACTTGCCCTGAAGTACCACCCTCCTCAGCTAATGCATCATAAAACTCATTATCATCCTCATCTTCATTATCATTTGCACCAACTGGAAGAAAAAATTAAATAAATAACAATAATTTTGTGACAGAATAAAAAGGGTGGTGTCACAAAATGTAAACTTGAGTAATCAGCCATTGTTTATATCCAATATTATGATGATGTTATTATAACATCATCAATATATTTGTAAAAGTTAATATTGGAATATGTTTGAAACAGTTTGTATGTTAGAAATATAATAATTAATATAAAATAAAAGGACACATGACTTTTTAAATAAATAATCCTCTTACAAAAGGAACAATTTTATTTCCAAAGTGCAACAAAACACAGATTAATTTTATGTATCTATCTAGAATCTAGATTTGTTTAATGTATGAGGTTTATATAATAATCTTTATGCTGCTCATTCACCCATTGCAGAAGTACCATAATATTGTTCTGAAGCTATTTCCTTGTGGCATTTTAAATTAATTACTATTTAACTGGGAATAAGCCACAATTAAAGATAAAAATATGTTTATTGACGTTTCAATTTCCACTTCGGAAATCGTTCTCAAAATATAAACAGTAAATTAAACAAATTTTGTTTCTTGTTACATAGTAAAAAATTCTTCTAATAATTTAATTTTATCTGACTCATTTATATTGACAATTCAGATATACATTATGCATTTTAAAGTAGACGACGTTAAAATGATATTGCCAATATTGTTTAGTTGCGCTCCTGGGACGACTTTACTTACAAGATAGTTCATTCGATTACATGAAATCAACTTTAACTTGAGAATATCCGTCAGAAAAAATAATAGCATAAAATTCGTCTTTAAAAAGACAAACACATGACATGATGACAGTAAAATTCTCCTGTTAGTGATTCCATAGTAAATTATGAGGGAAAAACCAGGAAATTTCAGTTAACCTTGTTTGTGGGTTAGAACTTTGACGATTATTAAAATAGTATGTAATGTTTTCACTTGGACGGTTCCTGCATACTATAAAGTAAGAAATTATATGGTCGCTGGTGTAAAGATATCATTTTTAACAATTTGTGGGTTATATGTTTTCTGCTTAACTACGTCCATATGTTCTTCCAAAATATGACACCATTTCCTCATCTATGGATAGATTATGAGAAAATACTTCAAACTGCATGTTCTTTTCATTTATCCAATCAAATTAGAATTATTGTACAAACAAATATGGAAAATCTAAATTTTATTATCTAAATCCGGTAGTCTGTCAACTTAGCAGCGCCTATTACATTAAATCCCAGCGTCCCGTAAATGCAACATTATTGAAATCAAATAGGTATGCAAAAACAAAACAAAAAAAAAATTTGAAATATGACTCACTATGTTTTCTACTGATATAATATATATATATATATATATATATATATATATATATATATATATATATATATATATATATATATATATATATATATATATATTGAGTTGAAAATGTCAAGAGTGTAGTTGATTTTGTCTGCAGGGACTCATTTTGTCTCAGGGATTCCTCATATATATATATATATATATATATATATATATATATATATATATATATATATATATATATATATATATATATATATTGATAATTTCAGAAAAAATATAATTTTATGTTTAGTACTGAAATTACATCGACAAAAATATGAAAAATAATTTTTGATTTTTTCAATATTCACTAAATTAAAAAATACATACCTGTTTATTTCAAAATATTTTATTAGATTCGTATTTTATGTTCTGTTTTAAATAAAATGTAGAAATAAAAATTATATTTGAGTAATGATACATTTAAAAAAAAAATACAATTAAAAATGTTGCGTCTACGCAACTTTGAGAACTAACGGGTTAATGGGCATCTCTAGGTCATTTAGAGGAATGTCAGCATTACTTGCAAAATAAACAACTTAACTGATGTTACATAAAATTAAAGCATTTTTTCATAGTATAATGTAAAATAAATTAAAAAACTGAATCTTATCTATAGTAGTCCCATGTGATTGTAGTATTAGGAGTAACAAAAGAATCTGTAAACCTATATTCTAGTTTTATGTTTTCATTATTTGCAGCAAGGAAATCGTTTGGAATAGTACATCATTACTAATCATATTATATGTGTATCTTTACAATGCAGGTATTTACAAAGATACAGTAAATGTTCTTTGTCATCTTCTTGCTTAGTGCACTGTTTTGCTAATAGTAATATTTTCTTTTCCCTATCCATCTGTATAAATAAGGATTTCACACTAAAGAATACTCTACAAAACAGCAAAGAAACAAAGCACAACTAATATTTTGTTTGAGATTAGGTTTTGAGAATAAGGTAATTTGGACTACTCTTGTCTTTTTCAAACTGCATGTGCTTAAGCATTATAGGCTTCATGTCCATTATATTGACGTAAATGGAATTATTTATTTACGCCTTTTTGTTTTGCAAAAGTTCAAAACTGTAAAGGATATGGACATCTGTCTTTTTTTAATGAAACTATATCATATCCTCTATAGAAATGATATTAACCTAAAACACTTATTTTATTTTTTTGGTAACATAATGTCATTGTTTTATAAATGTACTAAGAAACGACCTAAAAAATTAACCAATATTCATAATTTGAGGTTAGGATGTTATTGACTTTTTCAGAGATCTATAAAATGTATAAAATAAAACTTACTTTTTTGTCGATTGTTGCTACGCTTCAAATAGTTTTTCATATTATTTTCTAATTATATGTGTATCACGTAAATATAGAGATAAAACATATTTTTTAAATCGTAGATATGGACAGCCGATTTACCAATAAGAATAAATAGACATAGTTTTCTTAATAACAATGCATTTCCTACTGATGTCAATGTCCAATATAAGATACGATTTCACCTGGTTTCGATTTATTTTGAATTTGTAAAGTATAAATGTTATTGAATGTACTTTTTTCCCTTAAATACAATCCATACTGAAATTTTTTATCCTATTCATATTCATCACCTAGCCAAGGTCAATTAATATTCCATATTGTGACCCCACAACAGGACAATGATAGTAATTGTTTATCAATTAAATTACAGTCCATCTTTTGAGAACATAGGTTATAATAATAATAATAATACATCATTTGGGTCTGCGATGACGACATGGGTAGTGGAATAGTTTTAGACAAGGACACATACAAACATCAACAAGTTACAAAAAAATCTGTGAGAAAATTCATAGCTTTGAATTTGAATTCTCTTTTTTAAACATTAAATCAAAGAATATAGACGCTTATCTATATTCTTAAGTTATTCTAAACCAGTAAACTGTGGCATTGACATTGACGACATTGACGTATGACGTCAACGTACCCTTTAATCAAACTTTAATGATTAAAACATAGAACACTAATCACAACTGTTGTGATTAGTATTCTGTGATTAAAATAAGTTGTCAATATGTCAATAAAGGTAGTGGCTACCCTTACACTGCTTACACATTCGTGAATTTTAACCGCTATTAATTTATGGAGCACAGGGCCATCCAAAAAATAAAAGAGATATCAGTGGCGGCTCGCGACCTTAATATATATACTCAATAAATAACTGATCCATTTAGTGCAAAAGTACAATTAGTATAACTGATAAGACGTCATAGCCTGTGACGTCATATGATACCAACACGAAATATTTAGAGTTTAGGTGTGTTCTTTTTAGAATCACTTTACCGAGTACACTGGCATTACAGCCACTAGACATATTTTATTATATGCGCGTAGAAATAATATTTAAAAATTTCTATTAATGTTAACTCAAAGAAATACACAATAATATGTTTCATTTAATTTGTATAAATCCATTATAAAGAGATTTTATCAATAACATTTGTTCGGAACACACTGTAACTGTAATCGAACGAAGGTAAAATTTTGGCATAAATTGGTAACAGTTATTTGACAGTTGCGGTGTTGACACTTTTTGTACTTTATTTTGAATTTTAAAGTGAATACCTCTTGTTTTATATTTTTACCTATTTAATAAAATCTGTTCTTTTTAGAACAAAATTAGTGTGTTTTATTTCAAAAATGTCACGTAAGAATTTAAATAGTCGTTGTAAATAGATGGTAATACTTTTGCAATAATTATGTGACCTATTTGATTTAAAATGGAGTCAGGATTTTTTTATACTTTGGCAACTATGTCAACTTTGATCTCTGACGTAGATAATGACGTAAGTCGTTATCTAAATTAGATGAAGTATACTTAACAATGAAGTTTAGATTATATATACAGGGTGGTCCTTAAGTAATTGTACAAAAAGAAACCGTAGATTCTACACTTTAAAATATTACGATTTAAGTCAAGTTGCTTTAATAAAATGTTGATATTAAGAAAGGTACAGGGTGTTAAAGTGGAAATTTAAAATTTTATTTTTCGCTATAACTTTTATGTTTGTCAACATTTATGTATAAAAATTTACAACTGGGTACTATTAAATATCAGAAATTATAATTTGATGTATACTTTGATGTAGCTGATAGAGGGCGCCACATATGTGGCATACATTTGCACGTAACTTTTTTGCTCTTTAAGTTACCGATATTTTGAATAAAGAATATTAAAGATACTTTATTTTAACAAAAAAAGATCTACTTGTTAATACCTTCAAAACTCAACAGTTTTCGAGATAATCGCAATTTAGAAATCAACTACATAATTCTGATTTATCGCAATTACTCCAGGCAACGAAAGAAAATTAAAGAAAAACATTAATACTTCTGAATTTTGGTATAAAATACCTTTAATAAAGTTAATAGTTAATAAATTATTAAATAAAATAAATATATCAGCAGAATAAAATAATAGGATTTGATAAATAACAGAATAATTGGATTTTACATCAAACATTTTACGTTTTGTATTAAATTAAAGTCATAATCAAAACATTTTATTTACAAACCAAATTAATAAATAGTTAAAGTAAATAAAATTAAACTTTTTGTCAAAGTAAGTGTTCACTATGTCCATCATTTTCTTTAATTCATTTGTCAGTACATTCCAT